TTTTACTGACATTTTAATCGTTTGAGGATGAAGATTTTCATATGAACTGATTGTGATATACAACAGGTGTAAGACTGGGCTATCTACTCGTGACGACTGATAATGATGAAAGAAATAATTCAAAGAGGTCAGTGCATGTCAATGCGTACAGAGCCAGCAGGTCACTCAGGTGTGGCTGCTGCTTTAGCTTACGAATAGCGCACACTTGTGTTTGTATTATGCGTGGAGCCGCCAAAGCATTCTCGAAGTGGAATGTGAGGACACGAGGATCAGAAGAGGTTTTGGCCCGGGGCACCCGTCACGACTTCTCTGCGTCGACGTCGTGTATCGAATTAAAAGTCTGGGCGACATGAAACGACTTAATAACCTCGAGGTTATACATGGCTGCCTATAGAGGTTTATGTTGGTATTTATTTTCAGTTGCTATCAGTACGGTCCAAGAGAGATTTAACTAGGATCGAACGAGATCGTACAGCTTTGACGTTTTCGTACAGGCTCGGGTCAGATACATATAATGTGAGAGAATTACGTAGTTCAGCAGATCGAATGCAAGGTTGATGGGATTCAAAAGGAATCACGGTGGTTTAGCGTTTGATCTTTAACGATGAAATGAGAAAAAAGAAAAATCTCAAGCTATTTCTTATTTCAGGGTATACCCGATACGAATCCGCCAATCCTTTGGTTCTGCCGGTAAAACAACTTGTGGAACTCTGCAAAAACAGAGACTGGTACGAAACTACCTGGTCTGTTCTGACTGCTGACTCTCACCTGCCGCACGTAGGCGACTTCTCCTTTGTGAGATTAAAATGAGAAAATGTAAATTGGCCGTTTACAATTATTATACGTGTAAAAGAAAAGACGGTGAAATTGTCTCCGGGTAAAAACATTACTGATATAGTCATTAGTTTCATGGGATATACTTCATGGACTACTTAGTCGGTTGAGAGTGGATGCTCCATACATGTCGAAGCGAAGGGTCTTAAAAAATTTCAATGACTAGAATGTAGTTAGGCGACGTATGGAATAACACGGGCAGAAGTTAAATTTACAGGATTCAGTTGAATATCTCGCGCGTGTATTTTTGGAGGAATTCCTTTGACATCGGTTGGTCAAAGAGGGGCGAAGGAAATAAAGAAAGAAATAATAATCGAAGGCAAAGCAGGGAAGTTTGTTGAAATTTTCAGTCACGCTGTTTTGTAACACGACGCCTCCTGTTCGCAACGTCATCAGGTGCCTCGTTAACGAAGAGACGTTCGACTCGGCAATCAGGCAGCTCAAACTTCGGAAATCCCGTTTACTTGCTGTTTATTAAGTCGACAGCTGTACTTGTCAATTCTCTCTCTCTCTCTCTCTCTCTCTCTCTCTCTCTCTCTCTCTCTCTCTCTCTCTCTCTCTCATTTCTCATTTTTTTTCAGCGGCCTTATTTGTCATCGTTATCGCTCACTAGGAGTGGTTTCTGGAATGAGCCTCGCGAACGTGTGCACATGTATAAGGACTCGCAACGCTCGATTCGCATTTCAGTTACAGAAGCAAAGGAAACGAACAGGTGAATACCAAAAGTCCCACGCAGCCACATGACACGATCACGCACAGTTCCCGCATAAAGTATGAGTCTCGAGCGATTCCCCGAAATTTTGAAGATTTTCCACTAGGTCGATTGAACTCGGTGACGAGGGCGGATGCAGCCACTTACAGAGTTCTGCGCGGCATCCTAGTGCAGAGATGCAGCTGAACCTATACCGGTATATAAATAACCCTTGAGATATCCTAAGACCTCGCCAAGCATCTTTCCAGCAATCCACCAGAGGATTGCACAGCTCTGGATTGCTCCAAACTATCTCTAGCCGTCGTGCTATTTCTATCTCCAAGTATCGCGGGAGTAAGAGCTCTCTCTGACAACAATTCCGGAAAGCCCTTTAAATCAGGTGGCAAGACCGAAATCAGAATTTTCACTGGGACGAATTACCTATAGAGTAAGACCAGTCGATCCTAGAACAGAGAACATTTGGCTAGACACGAGTGCGCGTTGCGTGCCAGGATCAAAACCAGATGCTTCAAAATTCCAGATCTTTCTTACAGGCCACGTGGCAGGACGCAGGACTCGGCACGGGAGCCGAACAGGAACCCAGACTGAAGTATGGATAGTAGCACGCAAGTGTATTATGGTCTGTTCACCTGCGTGATAATTGTAGGTGACGTAGAAAGGCAAAGTAGGTTCTCCAAAGTGAGCCAAGTCGAAGTGAGTGGCTGGGAGGCACGACCAGACACGATCAGGCAGGATCAAACGTGATCGGTGGCAGGACGAGGCGAAGAGAGGGGGGAGGCAAGGCAAGGACATGGTGAGGTCGATCAAGTGCCTCGGGCTCGTCCCACCATGATAGTTACGACCCCTTGGCTTCGACGGATAATTGGATCCGATCCTGAGCATATCTGTGTGTACGTTGTTATTGCACACGCGTCAGTCGCTTCTGTGTACAGTTGGATAATGTCGTCTTCACCGGCTAACGAAGCAGTCAACTTTTTCTTGCGAGTCTCTACAATCACCACACTGTGTCCCACCATGACGGATGAATGAGCGAATGAACTTGCGGCACCTCAGAAATTGCCAGTGGTCAAAGCCGCTACTAGAAATAGAATCGTTGGGACTTTATTTCTACTGTCCTGTGCTCTCGGATGAGCTTGTAAATGGATTAGCAATTATTCTTGAGGTACGAGCTCTGAACACTTGACATACACGTTCAACGTGCAAATGCCTCAAGTACGCTGAACTGGTTGAACCGAGGGAACAGCCTGCAAAAGAATTTCTTAATGGATCTGCTACGTTACAAAAAAAAATACTGACGCTGAGAACGTAATAACAAGACTAAAATAAAGGGACGCCACAGACTTTACGGAAAGTAAGAAAACCATAATGCGTGTCGGTATAGTCTAGAGGAAGAACGTTACCACAGATTTCTACGGTACTACCAACTTCGCATAGATCACAGCCCTACGGACTCTATGGAGAATGTTCTGCTTTACCGACAGAGTTTGTATGGACGGATCGGTAAGATAGAGACTCATAGAATAGAAATTGAATTCATAACCAGCTGCAGGAAACATAGTAATCATCACTTTAACCTCAATTCGTAAGCGTTCGCAGTTTCACTTCTTGTTCACCTTACGTATCATTTCTCATGGTAATTTGACTGTCGACAACAACAACAACCGACTTTCCGACGCACCCATAGTCGGTCCACGAGCTGAAGTGGTTTTTTGACAGTTTGAAAACAACGAAGTGTTTACGACTACATGCAACGAATACATGGTTTAGCATACTCAATACATTTACGATCAAGAAAAATAGCATACATATCAGTGCAAAATTATACATCTAGATAATTTTTACGTGTGAATTTTATGTAAAATCATTTGTGGCTCATTGGAAATTTCATAGTGTTTGACCTGCCAAAAAACGAGTCGAACTCGTGGACGGAATATGGTACGACTGAATTATTCAAAAGAGAATTCAAACCACAAATATATGTATTCAGTAGTACTCCGGATAAATATACGTGGGGTTCGATCACGATATGAAATTTCGTAGTTCGAGTTGCGTGTTTCCGGTAAATTCTAATAACAGCTCGATACGCGTTGCTACACGTAATGTCGTAAATACAATAATCAAAGTTCAATATACTCAGAGGACCAGGAACACATATGACCCGTTGTGAATATATAAAGACTTCCAGTGAAACGTTCTCGATATTGTGAAAGCCAGTAAGGAACACTATTGCAATTGTTACCCGGAATCACGTGCTTGTAAAACACTCCCAGGTACACGCGGTGTCACGCGCTACGTGATTCTCATGTTGAATTATAGAAACGTCATCGATCCTCCCCGTGAACTGACAAGGCGGTGTGACATATCGGTACTGTACACGAGAAGGACGCGTCTGCTGATTATGCAGAAAATATAAAATGACTACGAAAAATCGTAAAAAATTGAACGAACTGATAAAAAAGTCAAGATCTCATTAACCCATCTACGCCGATTCGCTAGTGACGTTGGGTCCGTCAGTTGGTCCGTAAGGTTTACATGCAATTGAAGTGAAACTTGTCGACTCGTAAGTATCGAACGGCCTAGACAATTTCTATGGAGCGTTGAAATGCGAAAAAAGAATGACGATGAAAGGGAAAAAAAATCGATCCGCACTTTCTGATCTTTACGTGAAATTATCATGGGGGGCATATATAGTCGTATTGATATGTTTCCTTATTTTCTCCCTCTTCTCCCTCTCCTCCCTCGCGGCTAGTATTTACGAGTATAATGGATAAAAGGTATCTCCATCGATACGTAACGGAATCGACGGTTGTGCAAGTTGAACTCAAGCTTCCGCTACCTCCCACGGTATTTAATGTCGCTACCGGCGTTCACGAATAAACGCAGGTAACCGGCCGTTTGAAGTTTTCCAGCTAAGGAGAGACTGGAGGAAGTACCGAGAGGAAAAGACGGAAGGAGGGAGGATTTTATGGTTCGTCTATGTAATTAGAAAACGAGTGGTGAAGGTTCTGACTGTATTCGAGTCTCGAGTCAGATAATTTTTTAAGTATTTCCTTGTCTAAGCAAAGCCATAAGAGAGTTCGGCTGCGGCCAGCGTCGAAAGAATGTGGACGTGACTCAAACCGTTGGCATTCGGTCTGCATCCTGGTGGTTACTTGGTTAGTGTCACGGTACGTATATGCCTATGCACACGGCGGGTCTTTAACGTTCTGTGCGCATTCTAGACTCTTAGGCCGCTATGCTGACTATTCTGGGAAAAGTCACTCGAAAGTCGCCGCAGGCTACGACGAATGGACTTTCTTCGTGGCCGCTAAGCGTTCCTGCCTACCGAATGCAGCGAAGCACAACAGTCTAACGGAAATACGTGTAAATTGTTTATTCGTAACAGACGCAGAGTTCCGTTAAAGAAATTTCCTTTGCTTGCGCAACATTACGATTTTTCTATTTTTACAGATACCTGGTTGTCAATAACGCTCGACGAGTTGTGATGGAGAGCATGAGTCGAGGAGGTCAAGGGCGATCCTGGATTAGAGGGTGATCCCAATGCACCACTACCGGTACCGGCACCTCCACCGACTCCCTCATTTCGATCCATCCCTCGACGATTACACAGCCACCCCTAAAAGACACTTTTTAACACTTCACTTGAAAGCCACGAGACTCCCAGTGATCCTTCCTCCAGAATAGATCCTCAGGATATCGCCATCTTTGCAGAGCGCCCACTTTTTCTTCCCAATGCCAAGAATGGCGAAAAGTGTTTGCCAGGAAAAATTCCTCAAGTTTCTTTTTCTTTCTTCGAGTCGTCCACTTAGGTATCCTCCTTGTTATTCGCCCACGTATATCAGTACATTGCGTCATTCACTGCTGTCACGATATCGTCCTACCTCACTGTCTTACGACATCCTCTCGAGATCCTCCTACGTAGAAAATTCACACGATATCGATTCACTGAACAGGTCCCAAAGAAAGATGGACCGATAGCTAAACCAAACACTTTCCCAATAAGAATCCATTTAACGATACGTCAAAGAGCACGTGGTGTAAATTGTACAACAATAACGTGGGTTCCACGCAACGCAAAGAATTTCGTCGCGCCTTCTGCACTCGGGAGCTACGAAATAACATCAATGTCAGTAATACTGACAGCAAGAGTAGTAGTACCGGTATAGTAGAGTACCGGTGTAGTAGCACTGGTAGTAGTATAGTAATATGGTGGGGATAGAACCGCTCACGCGTTCACCTGTTTTTCTCGCTGCCGGTTTCACGTGTATTTTTCAAAACAGACGCGTGAACGAGGAGACTGGCGACACTGTGAAAAATACTCAACACTTCGACACGCGCTTCACTCACTGAATTGACACTGTTAGCCGTTTGGTGTCCGTGACAATATTTTCGAATAATCCGCACAGGAACGTGAATCAGCAAGCATAGGAGTCCAGCGTACGCCGCATCACCACCGACGGAGACCTCTCGACTGTCCTCAAGGAATTTTCCAGTTTCGGCTTTGTTTATCTCGACAGGCTGAAACTTGCCAGTGAGAAGGAGCATCGAAATCCGACACGCTCCGCTTCTGGAAGGCTTGCCTGGTAAGCCGTGTCGGGCGTTGCCGCGCGGTCAGGAATGTCGAGGGTATCCGATCCAGTCGTAGCAGTCGATTTCCAGGAAGACCCGGGGGTGGATCCTTCCTCTGAAAGTCTGGCACGGCCGAGCTCGGGAGTAGACTCGATTAAAAGTATGTTTTTTAGTGATTCCTTGTGGCACACGTTTTTTCTTTAACACCAACACGATTCACACTCCAGGTCCTAGTAGCACCGAGGATCCCGATCTCCCGAGTTCTCCGTGCTGGTGTCCGAGATCAGGCGCGGAGCGATCCCTAGTCCTTCCCGGTGGCATGGATACACGGCACTCCTCCGGGGAGCGTTTTCACTCGAGGATCACGATGACGAGGACGGATCGCGTGGATGGCGCGGACGATGCGATCCTGGCGGACGCGACGTGGAGAGCGGAGAGCATCGGGGACCGAGAGAGCGGTGTGTGGAGATTGGTGAGGAATCGAAGAGGAGGGCTCGATACGGGCCGAGTGGAGGCTGAGGCCGCGGCGAGTGCCGACACCGGTTTGCCTGGCCGCTCGACTAGTTGGCGAGACTGCAGGTAGAGGTCGGCCCTCGAGGTCCCGGGACTTCCAAGTGTAGAGGGACTGTCGAGCACGAACACACACGGGTCCCAAGGTGGGCATGACACACCTTGGGCTCTCCTCCTCCTGCTGCTGCTGCTCTGCTGGGCCCCGCGAGCGAGAACGCTTTTCTACCTGAACCCTCCTTGCGTCTCTTTTCCTCTTCTTTACTTTTGAACACACACAGGACTACGCAGGACGTCTCCGCACTTCTCTCTCTCTCCACTCCTCGTCTCCGCTTTTTCTTCCTCTTCTTCTTCGTCAACGGTCACCGTCCTCCTGGGTTTTGTCACCGTCTCTTTGTTTCTTTGTACTTCCACGGAGTCTCGTTCCTGTTTCTCTTCCGAATTGACTTCGATGCGACTCCGGGTCCAATTATGCGAGCCTCGTTAGGCGAGCTGAGTACGTAGGAGGTGCCAGGATTGATGTCCACTGGTTATTCCCACTCTGAACCAGGACTTCGCAGCAATCGCTTCTAATGACTTATATTTAATGAAATTTCCCCGAAATCATTAGGCAGGTATGACTGCTTCCTGCTCGCTTGAAACACGTCAATCTTATACATTGACCACGGGGTTAGACCCGATTTCTACCCCAGGTCACAATCCTAATCCTTTGGAAATTCGAAGGACGAGAAGAACTTCGTTTCGTCGACTGCGAAGGACAAATCGAATGTCAAGGACGGCTGGTTTCTCAAGGGAGGAGGAGCAATGTCTTCATGGGATTATAAAATCGACTGGACCCATGAGCATATCAAGAGACGATCCAGCTGTGATCTTCGGCGGGTAGATCTAGATCCTCAAGATTTAGCAGATACCTGTGCTGCTTTTACCCACTCCATCCAGAGAGCCATTGGATGAAGCAAGAAAGATACTAAACCGAGATAGACCTTCGCATAGAGATAGTCGGATACTCGGATGAAGAGCGAGAGAGAGAGAGAGGGAACACAGTGAACGAAGAAGTAAAAGGAGGAAGGAAAGGCTGGTTTTTCGAGAGCAGCTTTATATTGCGCGTAACTCAGGTAGGCGTCCCTGCCAATGCAGGTAGCTGGACCCACCTTAGCCAGCCTGAGCAGAACGTAAAGCAACACGAGGGCGTGGTTCGTATTCGAAGATCGAGCCCCTAGCTTACCGGTCGCTGCCCTCTCTTGCCAGGTTCCGTACTTACTCACTTGCTCCCTCTCCCTGCCCGCCGCCCGTTTACTCGGACACGATCACCAGGAGTAGGAGCCGACGGCCTCCGTAAGTGCGCAGCCATACGACCATCCAAGAATATTAAATATCGCCATACAGAAATGCAGCGACCATTGACCAACAAGACATCGGACACTACCCCTGTGCTCACAGATTCCCAGAAATTTCCCAGAGATACCCAGAATCCCAAATAACGGGATATACCTTGACGAGGCTAATCAGGACTTTCCGGGACTCCGGGGTACCGTCTGTGAACCCAAGGATGTTTCTCTTGTACGACAGAGCCTGACGGCATCCTTTTCTCATCTTCGTACGCGGCACTTTGGCTCCCGGTGAGCACGACTACTCAGTCGTCACTCGTTCCGCTCAACCGGTTTCTTTGCAGTTTGGATAAAAGAAAATTTATTTCCTCGTGGATGCACGACCCGTGGCCTCGGCCGGTCTTCTTCGTATTTTAATTCAAAGATTACTCGTACGGGTACCCAGTGTCGCTGCTTTGATATTCCTGAAGCCTCTTTTAAATGGCGCTTGGTCTGTCTTCCTTGGCATTAAGAGACGTCCCTATCGATTTCCCTGGTCACGACCCGGAATCGGGTTACTGGGTATCCCAGGGCTCCTGGCTGAACGTGGTCGTCACGTACCAGGATGGACGCTCTGGATACGGATGAAATATTTCGGAGGATCATCAAGGACGACCTCTTCTTTGCACTGTGAATTTTGGCCTATGGCGCTGCCCGTAGCGGCAAGGACAAAAGCGCGTGGGGG